AAAAAAAAAAAAAAAAATCTAGAACATGCTAACTACTAAACTCAATAAATAAATGCACTGAAAATCAAACTATTAATTATTATGCAAAATAAATAAATAAAACTTATATTAATAAATAGGGATAGATATTATTACATTAACATGCACAATCTATAACATATATATATATATTTATGGATTCTACAATTTCATATATAGCTATAATTAGAATTAGGAAAATGAAATTAATACTTTATTAAGATAAAATAAATAATAAATAAATATATATATATATATAAATAGAGAGAAAAAGAAAATATATGTGTGCGCATTAAAATACATACCAAATAATTCAACTTTCGTTTCTGCAGTTCCTAATTTATTAGCAGCTCTGCATACATATTCTCCATACTGTCTCTTTTCAATTGTGATCACTCTAATCGTTGTATCTGTATATTGATCTGCAGTTGCAAAATGTGATATGCTATAATGTTGATTATTTGATAGTTGAATATCATCCTTTAACCAAACAATAGCTGGTGGAGGATAAGCTTCTACATGACATTCTAAATCCATGTCATATTGTAAAGCTTGACCAAGTCTTGGTCTAGGTGCAGTGATCACAGGTGCAAATTCAACTTCTACATTAATATTTCGTCTAGCTCCACGTCCTACTCCATTTTCAGCTACACAATAATATGTTCCACGATCTTCTTTACGAATTGTAGAAATTTTCAATGTATTGCCACTATAATATTTTGGTTTATTTAAAAAAAATTCATACAAAGATAAAAGAAACAAACAAAAAATAATTATTTACCGGTAAATTGATCCTCCAGTTGGTAAAATTGCATTATTTTCTCTTCGCCATGAAATTCTAGGTGTGGGAAAACCACCAGCATAACATTCAAGTTGCACTGGTTGTCCCTCAGTAACAACTAGAGATCTAGTTGAATTATCACTTATAATAGGTGGTCTACGAACTTGCAATTCCACATTTGCAGATACATAATTATTTAAAGATATTAAAATTTTGCATTGATAAAATCCAGCATCAGTCTCTTGTATATCTTTTATCTGAAATATGCATTATGTTATTACTTAAATTTTACAATTAGCTGTAATTAAAAATATTATATGTATTAAATTTAATATTAAATTACTTGTAATATAAAGGTAGATAGAGCATCATCATATCTAAGAGCAAATCTAGTATCTCTTATAATTAAAGAACTACCATGTGAAAGAGGTAATTGATCATTAGCTATATTTTTATTAATTTTTGTCCATACAACTGGAAATTCAGGGGCATATTGAACTGAACAACGAAATTCAACAGTATCGCCAATATCTTTAATTTGTTCTTGTGAAATATATGATATTGTTGGTGTACGTTGACTATTAACTGAAAAATATAATAATATTTCTGTTTAAAAACATTATTCTAATTATAACAAGCAATATTGTATATTGTATATAATATTATTACATTATATTAATTCCAAAAAAAATATATAAACAAATATAACAAATAATATATAATTAATTGCATAAATATTATATTATGTTGGTTATGTACAAAAAAATATTCTGTAAACATTAGATTTCATATAAAGATTATTGATATTTCATTCGATTAAATAGTTTATAATAAACAAATTTAGGAATATAATATTTATTTTATATTCAAAATAATACATGCAAATAAATATCTTTTACCTGTATATAAAAGGGCTAATACGAAAAAAGTATGAAGAGTCTTCATTGTGACACACCCCTGATGCTATAATGTTCTTATAATTCGAATAATCTTTTAGATTATTCTTTAAGTTTCTGATTATTAATTAATTTTTTGTCAATATTATATCCACGTCTTAATTTACATTAACAATATTGACAACATTATATATCGTTCTTATTATTATTAGACGCTACTAAATAATAATCAAAAAGAAAAGGTACTCACAGGACAGGTGTCTTTTGACCGAAAATAAATATGGCGAATGACGCTACATTTCTAATCAAATGAAATATTGCAAATCAAAATATAAGATGTGTGATATAAATAAAAATATTAATTTTTCTATTTTTTAAATAATTGTTTCAATATTTTATTTTGTTTCTTTATGTATAATTTTTTATCTTTGAATTAATAATTTTAATGAGGTTAATAAATATGCAATTGATTTACTATGTTCATTCAAAAATTTCCAACGTAGTTATAGAAAATATACAAGAAATATAAAATAACAAATTCAATAACAATAAATTTCAATAAATTGTATTTATTATTTTTATAAAAAAATAAAACTATACAATTTTACTAAAAAAAATTGTTAAATAAAAATTGTAAAAGAAAGATTTTATTCTCATTTACATTAAAAATAATAATATAATAAAAAATATTTCTAATCATGATTATTATATTATTAATCGCCTGAAAGAATAAATTTTAACAATAATTAATATAAATATTTATATGTTCTCTAAATATACTTCTTTCATTATTTTTATTATGAAATTGTAAAGGTGAATAGGTATGTCATACAAATTACATAACAATTACAGTAAAATGTCAAAGTAATGTACAGTTAACAGACATTTTCTATTGATTACTTTTTACTAAGGTTTTAGTTAGATACAAAGGCTACATTATTTGAGATCTATTTTTATATTATTTCAGAAAAAAAAATATATATAATTATATAACTTCAAAAT